TGAATAACGATGCTGCAGCAGCTTAACCTGGAAACTCAGGGAGGTCAAGAAAGGTCACACACACTTTCATGAATTATGCATGAGGCTGGATGGACAGCCCTGCCCAGCAAGTAGAGATTAGGATACTTCAGCATGGCAATAAGACCACCCCCTTCTTGTTCATGAATAATTAAAGACCAAGGATAGGAGCCCCAGGGGAAACCCAGAGGAAATGTATTTGCCTCCTCCCCACCCCTGATTAACTGCACATGAACCAGGGCTGCCTTGGTCCAATCAAATCCAGGCTCATAATGCTTTTGACAGGTGCCTCAGTTTCCACAGCTGTAAAATGGGGATAGTACTCACCTCATAAAGGCAATGTGCATTATCAAAATCAGAGAATATGAATTACGGAATGAGTTCAGGGCAGTGCTGGCACAGGATGCTTAAATTACTATATAATATATAAAAATGTAAATATTATATATTAATACAAAGGTTATGTCCCTCCCAGAAGGACACTGGAATGCTAAGGCCATCAATGTCCATTAAATAGGTAGCGCAGACTACCAAATCACCAGATAAACCCTGGGCACACAATAAGCACCCAACACTGTTGAATAACAACAGATCCCATTCATAGATATGGTGGCTCCTGCGGTGTTTCCTTTCCATGCATTGTACCACTGATCAGGAAATTGGTTCCTTCTTGTCTTCAGGTCTCAGCTCAGAGGTAACCTCCTTAGAGTTCTTAAACCCTCACAAAAATCATCCCTACCCACTAATGACTAGCCATGTGACCTGGGACCAGACAGTTCACTGATCTGGGCCACTGTTTCCCCACCCATAGAATGAGAACAGTGACTTACCTTGTCACGGAGATTCAATGAGTAAACATGTAGAAAAGGCTTGGAACAGTGCCTGGCACAGAGTGCTAAATGACTGACATTAGTAGTAGTACCATTAAATTGGGGAGGGGGGTCGATTATAGCATTTGATTAAAATTACAGACTGGAACTAGACTGGTTAGGTTTGAATGCTGGCTCAGCCACTCACTGACTGTAACTGTAGGCAAATTACTTACCCTTCTGGTGTCCCAGTTTCTTCATCTATTAAATAGGATAATAATAAGCTACCTCCTAGGACTGTTGTGGGGATTAATGGGCTAATAAAGTGCTAAATGCATGTAAACTAATCTGATCATCATGTTGCCTATATCTATTTTTCAGGCTCACAGAAAGATTTGCCAAAGATCACACAGCTGGAGAGGATCAATGGGATTGGAGTCTGGAGCCTTTGTTGATAATCTGGGATCAGTGGGTTTATAAAGACAAGAACCATGTATGAGGGAGGCCTCGTCCGTTCCCTAGAGGAAAGGTTTAAATCCTGGCGACTCTAAGGGAAAGCTAACAGTGGATCATGTAGATGAAGCCTTGTAAGCCACGCCCCTCATGAATTATGCACAACGCCCCTAGAAAAGCTACAGAAAACTCGGGGAGCTACTCACCTTTACGATTTATCAATGAGTTCTAGTTTGCCAGAAAGACTGAAGAACGCCCCTTCAGCATGCTCAGCCAACCCTCTTGAATAATTCACAAGTCATACTTCCAGCGCACTAGGTGCAAAAGAGGCAAAATGGTCCTAACAGCCCCACCTCCTCATGAATAATGAATAAAGCCGGGCTAATGAAGGCTCGGTGGAGCCCTGTCCCCTCGGGAAGCGCTTAGGGCTTCAGTGCCCCTTCCACAGTCCGGGTTAAGGGGCCCCTCTCCCTACCAGCCTGTGGGTCCCGACGTCTCCAGTCTCTGCCCCGAGTGCTCGAGCACGGGGGGGTACCGCACCATAGAACCAGAGGTCACAAAGGCCACGGATACCCTTACAATGCCACGTTGGTCCCGAACGTTCCCACAGTCACCAGGACCTCCCCTGAAACAAGCCGTCCCCCAATACAGCCTTGACTTCAGGAACCTCAAATTTCACCTACCCGCTTAGGGAGTGCCCCAAATTCTTCCCCGTTAAGAGAGTACTCAGAATACTTATACATAGACCCTAAAGGTCTCCTCCAACATCCTCTGACAGCTACATACTGCCTCCGAGGGATACTCCCTAAAACAGATCCCACATCCCACCTCGATTCCCCGAAGATCACTTGTTTAGGGTCCCTCTCCAAACAGCTGCCCCTAATAGCCACCCGGGGCCCGGAGCCTCCAAACATGCCCATTGGGGGTTCCCCGAAACTGAGATCTCCTCCCTCAGCTGCTGTCCACGGGCTGGGGGGTACCCACCGTGCTCTAACTCACCCCCTACGTCTAGCGGAAGCCTCGCCTTCCTGCTGGAGATGAGCCGACGCCACGGGGCAACGGAAGAGCAAAGCAGCTTCTCCGTCGCCCAAGAGAAGCCAGAGTTTGCGCGGAGCTCGGAGCTCGAAAGCGCGGGGCCTCGGGTGCCTCGGTTGGAACGTACCACGGACGCTCAGCTCAGAGGGGTGTCCGCCTCGCGGCCGCGCCGTCGGCGGCTCGCGTCAGACCCGAACACCCCTGCGGTTTGTGGTCCTTCCCAGAAGCGCGGGGCATGCTGGGGGTAGTAGTTCAGCCCAGCTGGTGCTTGGTGCACGTGGTGAGCATCCGCACCAGATTATGGGAAAAAGTAAACCTAACTGTGGA